AAATTAAGTTAATATTAAAAAAAAATCTTCCAGTAATCCAGGACACATACATATGTGTGCGTATCTGTGTGCATTAATATCAGCATGAATGAATATATATATATATATATATATATATATATATATATATATATATATATATATATATATATATATATTTGTATTCATCTCTGCTTACGGTTGATTTCTGCCAGCCCTTCTCCTGTCGATCGCTTTTCAGTGCCAGTCAGCAGTTAGCAGCTGGCACCTGTCACTCGTCTCATCAGATTAACAGAATTATCTGAAACAATTAGTCGAATACAGTTCTCACCCTCTTCCCCTGCCTATTTCACAACCCCACCACCCGTTAATTGCTCTTTCCACTATCACGCCCGTCCTTCTGTTTACATTAAAAACAATTCTTCGAAATTTATGTCTTTTTTGTTTGTTTGTTTGTTTGTTTTTCTTGATTTTATTTTTAATTCGTCATAACACGACTCTCTTATAGACTTGGGACGTGCCTGTGTTGCTGACGGCCTCATTTCAAATCAGGACATTAGGCCGTTTAAAATTTCTTTTTTTTTCAGTGATAGATTTTACAATAATTATGACGCAGACAGTAAAGATAATCAGCATAATGATCATTAAAATAATTTAAAAAATCTACAAAAAAAGAAATTGAAAGAATTTAGTCAGATAAAATAAATGACTATTCAGAAAAGAGAATGAAACTAGAAATATCAAATGCGAATTTTTTTTTGTAAGAATTAGCATGTCTGATAAAATAATAACCGCCAGAAGTCTCTTGAGTGACTATGTAAATAAGATACTGAAAGAATTAGACGTACAAAAAGAATTGAAACAATTCAAACAATGGCATAATTAATGAGAACGTATTCTCCTTAATAGTGCCATGACTTGAATCATTTCAATTCTTTTTAACACGTCCATTTGTAAGGTTTCGAAGAGAATTACTATCATTTCGTTTAAAGCTATAGTCTGACTATAAACTACATTTGGTAGCAAGACCTTTGATCAGGAGACTGAAATATTTGAGCAGCATGGAACCACCTTTTACCGGGTTATGCTACAAAACATATCTGTAATTAATGAATTTGAAGTAGAGGAATTAAAAAAAAACAAAAAACAATTACATTAATATAATGTTTTTAACTGTTTTCCAAGTTCCATCTACCGGCCTCAAAGTTGGTTACATTTTCGCTTTCCATTGCTCAAAAGTCAAGTTTATATTAGAACTATATACAAAAGGAAAGTCCTGGATATAACGATAAACTACATCCGGCAGCGAGGCCTCTCATCGGGAGACTGGAGCTTTTGAGGAACCTGGGATTATCTGTTATTCCCAGGTCCATCCTGATGCGGGGTGGTAGCATCTCTTAGGCTCCCAGTTATGGACAAATAGGGAACCCCAAAACAAAACAAAACAAAAAAAAATACCTTTACCCTGAAAGTATTAATTATGTGCAAAATATTTGTACTTGAAAGGATAAGATTACGTACAAAATATTTAGATTTCGGCATTAAATAACCCAAACGTGCCGTCGCCTCCCTCTGTCTTTTCTACAAATACATTCACGGTAACTGCTCCGACGAGCTATTTTCGCTAGTTCGCAAACTGCATTTAAACACGCCACTTGGTCGGCATCTCAGTCCCACCCTTTCACTGTAGAAACGGTTAAATATAGCCGTCTCTTCTACTCCAACAGTTTCCTGTCTCGCTCTTCCCGACTGTGGAACTTCCTTCCTCTTACTTGCTTCCCTATTAGCTATAATGTTCAATTATTCAAATGCATTGTCAATCGATATCTCCAAATGCCTTGATATATTCCCCGCCCTTCTCTTCATCCTTTACTCTCTCACTCCTCTTTACTCTTGCTCCCACTTTCTGTAACCCCTTGCGTGCTAGTGGTACTCCCGTCTTGCTTGGGGTGAAAGAGAGAGAGAGAGAGAGAGAGAGAGAGAGAGAGAGAGAGAGAGAGAGATGCTGCTAAACAAAATCGGGAAATTGAAGGTTTTCAGGAGGGTGGAACCATCTTTTGACTGCTGCTGTTCCCTGGTCCACCCTGAGCCGGACTGAAATAATGAACCGCCAAGCAAAAATCAACAGTACATTTTGATAGCAAAGTGACAATCAATGCAACATTAAAAAAGATAAAAATACATTTTTATAATAAAATTACCAACAATACACTTTATGATCTACAAACTATATATCTAAAAAAGCATACCTTTACCCTGAAAGTATAAAATTATGAACAAAATATCTGTATTTGAAAGCATAAAATTACGTACAGACTAGTTAGATTTCGGCATTAAATAACCCATACAGTTTGATAGGCGCCTAAACAAAATCAACCAGCCAATCAGGATTCTTCTGTAGAACCACACCTCTGTTGCCTCAAGTCTTTTCATAGTCTGTGAGGAAATTGTCCATCATTCGCTGTTATATATTATTGGCTTATATTACATAACATTTCAGTATTCTTATATTTGTTTCTATCGAAATTTTCCATTAGCTTTTTAGCATATCTAATCTTATTTTATATAACTAAGTGTCTGTAATAATTCAGTTTTATTATTTATTTGCCTTTTCTTTTATATATAAATATATAAACATGTAATTCACCTACAGTACAATGATTCATAGGCTGTTCGATCTTATTGGCCCGGTGGGGTAATGTATAGCGGCTCTGATTGAGGAATCAGAGAGCCGAGTTCGAATCCATTAGATTCCCTTACGTGCTAATAACCTTGAGGAAGGCATGAATCCTCGTCTTCTTCTCCCAGCCAGATAGCAGAACAGACCGGGCTCTATCGCCTTTGATGGCAACTGGTCTACGCAGAATGAAATAGCAACCTATTGCGGGAAAAAAATCTGCTTCGTCAGTCATGTATCGAAAGATACATGATCGTCTAAGTGTGTATCACACGTGGCACATGATCAACTACCATAAACTTGTCTGAATTTTAATTAAAATGGTCTTAGCAAGTAGCTTTAATAATTTACACACAGTGACACAACTTTCCTAGCTGTAGATGTAGAAATTGATTCAATGTGATTTTTGAAGCTAATTTGACTACAGTAAATGGATATATAACTTGATCACCGGCGTAGCCAAGGCCAGCAGTACATATGCTATTTCTATATTACGTGTATGATGCGACCCTCTTAAAATTAGCTTCAAAATTAGGTCTTCAAAAGTCGCATGATGCGCGAGTATATACGATAACCATTCCACTTCATATTAGCTGAAGGCACAACGAATCACTTCTCTAGAAGCTTTAACCATTCTAAGAGGAGAAACTGAATTTCCCCCGATCATGCAGGAGAGTCACGATGAGCTGTTGTACTCTGAATGGGGTCATTGGCCTGGAAAGTCCATTGAAATTCAAGTTCACTCCAGACTTCAAGGGAAAATCGTACATACAATCACAATCCATTACTAAAGATTCTGGAAAAATGGTCAGTTCTGTCTACCGCTCTGCCGCGTTCTATCTTTACAAGAACCCCGTTTCCCCTTTTAAGCCCTGACAAAAGTTCAAAAGTGTTTACAGGGCCTTGTGGGTAATTAACAATTTTTCATCATACAACCTTTTCCTACAGACGAAACGCTGCTCCCTTCACGAAACACTATCGCTATTTACATGGCAGATGCATTCTTTTTTCTTTTTATGTTCCATGTCCTTTCAGGACGTTGGCGATCATGGCTCTCCACCTCCCTCTATCCCTTGCAGTTCTCAGCAAGCTCCTTCGCTCTGCTTCCTCCCCAGACCACGTTCTGTCATCCACCTGCTCAAGCTCGCCAGGTATGTCATACGATGCTTTCCCTTCTCTCTTTCCCTCTATTTGACCCGTGAGTATCAGATTCCCCAGGCCCTCCTTCCTCATTATGTGTCCAAGAAACTTCAGCAGCCTCTTTCTGATATTAAATATAAGCCTTCTCCTTGTTTGTAACCTAAGACCTCATCGTTGCTCACATGCTCGATCCAAGATATCCTTAGCATCTTTCTGTAGAACCACATCTCCGTCGCCTCGAGTCTCTCATCCTTGAGGAAATCGCCCAACATTTTATAGGTGAGCTGTATTATATAGTTCCATCAATACAGACCTTCACGGTTAGTACCGGCCATACCACGTTCACAGGGTAGATTCATTGGCATCTCTTTGTATTCCATTGGTATGGAAGAAGTACCCAGTGACTGCCACTCCAGAACTGTTACGTTGTGGAACAGACTACTGAAAGCATGCTTCTTTAATCACTACGATCTTAAACTCTTCAAATTCCTTGTGGGTGACGAAGTATTTTCCACCATACAACCTCTTTCCTCACAGACGAAACATCACATGACTCTTGCTACTCCATCGCTATTTTCATGGAAAGTGTTCAGACGAACTACATTTCTTATTTCTACCAGTTCTCATCTTCATGGCTAAGACACGTCGTGTCACGCCCATTGTATCGAACAACCCTCATTCGCTTCGTCTTCCACTGGGGAGATGTAAGTTCCACTCGAGCAGCTTCTACTCACCAACTGCTGCTCTGTGGAACCGACTACCAAGAGGATGCTACAATCTTAACCTGCTCAAGTCTATGGTTAACTCTTATCTTCTCCACATATCCGCATAAATTGTACCTCGTACTCTGTAACGCTCTACCTCGAGTGGTAACCGAGCCTTGTACAGGGTTAACATCATTATTTAAAAACGTCTAGGGTTTACCCTAATAATGTGAACATCTTGCTTCCTCCTTACAGCAACCCGTTTTAGTAACTCTCTTGCGTGGCTTTCGGGCCTTATATTGGGTGAACAATATTATAAAAAAGATAAGTTATTCAACATATTATGTTATGAAACAGACTCCTGAGAGGATGCTTCCCCGATCAGTAGAACCTTAAGCTCTTCAAGTTAATCGCTATCTTCCTACATACTCACATAAACTGCTTAACGCCTCCACCAACGTGGATCAACTCCAGTTAGTAAACTTGAGACTTTATAATGTATGAAATGTAGAAACAGATTCGTTATTCGACATATTCCATTATTCTGTTTTTCAAATATCTTCTCCCTTTTCTCTTTTTCTCTTTCTTTTTCCTCTTTCCTTTTCTTTTTTCTTTTCTCCTTCTTTTTCTCTTTTCTTCTCTCTTTCTTTTTCTCCTGTCTTTCTTCTTTCTTTTTCTTTTTCCTTTTCTCCTTCTTTTCCTCTTTCCTTCTCTCTTTCTTTTTCTCTTTTCTTTTCTCTTTCCTTTTTTCCTTCTTTTTCTCTTTTCTTTTCACTTTCCTTTTTCTTTTTCTCCTTCTTTTTCTCTTTCCTTTTCTTTTTTCTTTTTTCTCTTTCTTTTTCTCTTTCCTCTTCTCTTTTCTTTTCTCTCTGCTTTTCTTTTTCCTTTTCTCTTTCTTTTTTCTTTTCTCTTTGCTTTTCTTTTTCTCTTTACTTTTCTCTTTCTTTTTCTTTTTTCTTTTCTCTTTGCTTTTCTTTTTCTCTTTCCTTTTCTCTTTCCTTTTCTTTTTCCTTTTCTCTTTCTTGTTTTCTTTTTCTCTTCTTTTCTGTTTTCTTTTCTGTTTTCTTTTCTCTTTTCTCTTTCCTTTTTTCCTTTTCTCTTTCCTTTACTTTCTCCTTTTCTCTTTCTTTTTCTCTTTCTTTTTCTCTTTCCTTTTCTTTCCCCTTTTCTCTTTCTTTTTCTCTTTCTTTTTCTCTTTCCTTTTCTTTTTCCTTTTCTTTTCATTCTACTCATCCCAGTACTTTCCTTTGGTTCTTATTCCCCCCGCCCCACCATCATTTCACGTTTATTTTATTTCTTTTTAGATTGTTTTTCTTTACTTTTGCTGAGTCAGCCTTTCCAGTTCAATAACCACATTCATATCTTCACGATATACACTTTGACCACATTTGCTTCTACACTCCTGGGTAAAAAATGAATTAGCCAAACACTTTTCATCATGTCTTATGCAATTACAATTTTTTTATTGAATAGAGATAAAATATGCAACAAATGATTACATTTGCGCCTAAGCATATTTGAAAATCGATGTGGACGTGACGTGGCTGATATTTGGGCGGAAAATGGAATTGGCGTGAGCGGATCAAATTCAAAACGAGGCTGTGGCGTTCATTTTTTTTTATAAATATGCTAGGAAAGATATAAATGTATCTCTTCCCTTTACAATTCAAAGTTCATAATCAGGTGAACTTAGTTCTCTGGCTTTGTTTGGCAACCAGTCTAGAAGGAGAAAATATCTGAATCCCAAACCGGTTGGGCGTGGGGATAGCATCGCCACCCCATAAAACATACTTGCAAAGGAAATCACAACCTTAAAACTTAGCGTGATGTGGAGTCTACCAGACTAAGGTACAAAACATATCTGAAATTAATGAATTTGGAGTGGGGTATTTAAAAATAAAGCAAATACATTAACACAATGTTTTTAACTATTTTTCAAGTTTACTTGCATCAAACCTGGTTAGATTTGAACTTTATCTTACTTAAAATTCAAGTTTATGTTAGAACTATGTACAAAAGAAGTCTTCGGTATGACGATAAACTACATCCGGTAACTAGGCCTCTGATCGAGAAACTGGAGATTTTGAGGAGCCTGGAACGACCCCCTTAATTGCCTGTTGTTTCAAGACCTACTATGACCCAAGGTGTTAACACCTGATAGGACCCAATCTATGGGCAGACAAAATTAAAAAAAAACTATGAAAGTACAAAAATACATTTTTATAGTAAAAATACCAACAGTATATTTTTATATAAATAATGACCAATAATACATTTTAACTGTGGTTGATGTTATGCAATTATGCTCAAAATATATTTAGTTGAAGCCATACAGTTGTGTTCAAATTATTTAGAATTCGGCATAATGGTTGATATTCCAACAAACATTATCATGTCATTAATCCATATAATATCCTACAATTTCATAAAGAAATCAAACTGTATTGCAAAATATAACTTCAACAAAACTACAACATAAAACATATCTAACCGCCTCCAGTAATTATGTCCGCACAAATATGTATAAGCACAAAAGCCAAGTATTATCTACCATGTATTCAATTGTGAAAGCAGAATAACATATCATAGTTTTCTTAATTCAATTCTTCCAAGAAAATTAAATTTCGACACTAAATGAAGCATAACAAATCAAATCAAATCAATCATATACAAAAGAAATATGTGTGTGTGTTTGATTTCGTAGCAGTTTAAAGGGAATTAACAAATTATACTGGCTAGGTTAGATGACATGCAATTTACTCAGGTAAGAAAACATTAAGGACCTGAAGAGCTCTGTGTATTGTCAAACTGTTTAAAAAGCGTAACTTATTTATATTCGAGAATGCCTTCAAAAAGGTATAAAATTTCAAGTAACTGTTATAGTTAAAAGCCGTATTGCTGGACCTTTTCAAACGGATAAGTATCATCACCATTACCAGAAACATCAGAAGTCTGAAGATATATAGATCTACAATTTAGAGAAGTAGTCGCACATTTCAAGTGACAGGTTTTGCGTCATGAAAAGCGGCTTGCGGAAGCCCAAAAAGATACAAGGAGCCCAAATGACAAACCTGGAAATGACTCTTCTGAAGTGTCGTAAAACGCTTGGCACAATCATTCAGAAATTTAAAAAAAAACTGTTTCAAGAAGAACAAATGCAAAATTCTTTCTTTTTCTTTTTATGTGCCGTGTCTTTTCAGGACGTAGGTGATCATGGCTCTCCACTTCGCCTATCCCTTTCGTGCCTCTGCTAACTCCCCCTGACCACGTTCAGCCATCCGCTTGCTTAAGCTCGCCAGGTACGTCACACTTTGCTTTCCATTGTTTCTTTTTCCCTCTATTCAACCTGTGAGTATCAGATTCTCCAAGCCCTCTTTTTTTATTACGTGTCACAGAAGTTTCATCTGTCTCTTCCTTATGTTAAGTATAAGCTTTCTCCTTGTTTGCATCCTGTGTGAAACTGATTTCAAATAAACTGTTTCTATCGATAAAGGCTTTGATTGTTTGTTTAGCGGCATATCAACTCCTTATGGGTCATTTAATGTCGAAATTTAATTTTATTGGCTTCAACCACGGCCTTCAGACGACTTCGGAACCTCCTACAATTCTTCTGGACGGTCTCCTTGTTTAAGTTGGTGACTACTGTCATAATTCTTGCCATCAGTTCATCTTTGCTGTTAAAGGAATTTTGTTTGTCTCTCGCTCAACTGCGCCCCACACATAATAATCAAGGATGTTGCAGTCTGGGGAGTTAGGTGACCAGATGTAAGGAGTGATGTGGTTGCAGAAATTACCAGACAGCCACGATTGTGTTCTCCTGCTTGGGTGGCATGGTGCAGAGTCTTGTTGCCAGACATAGGGTCTTCCAGCAGCCACCACTACTGCCACAAAGAACTTGATGTTAGCTAGAGAACCAAGTCAACCTGTTAGCAATTTTGACTTGTGGGGAGAAAATCACTAGTGGGAAGAAGTTGGAGATCGTCACTGCTTGATCACCGGCCAGCAGTACATATACTATTTTTATATCACGTATATGATGCGACTCCCTTAAAATTAGTTTCAAAATTAGGTCTTCTTCTATAAATATTTTCCCGGAAATTGTTTTCTTTCCACGCTGGTTTCTCAACTTCACGAATTTAACACGCAACCAGGTCGCATAATTTCACTGTTGTCCTCCATGTTTTTATTTCACTCTCAGTAACCCCCTGAATCCTAGTGGCTCATAATGCTTGGATGAAAGGAAAATTGATACAGCACAGTGTAAAACAGTGAATGAGTCTGCTTGCCATAAATACCTGTTGAGACTCAAATGAAAGTCATATATACCATACTAAAGATATTAGAAAAAGTCACATATATCATACTAAGTGTTGTGGCCTTGTTAGGGCCAGAAATAAAGACACAAAAGAGGAATTGAGTTAAAGAAATATATCAACAGAAACAGTAATACAAACATATACAAACGAGAGTGTTACAGTAAGAATGTTCGGTCCGACTGTCAGAATTGACTGCTGTAAATTTTCCTTTCGAAAAAGGCAATACCTGCTCCTATTTATAGCAGATAGAATCCATGCGTGCGTGGGTAAATTATCATATTAAAGATGCTGGAAAAAATAGCTTCCTTGTACAGCTCCAGTATATATCTGATTCCGCCTGCTATGATCTACCTTTACAAGAGCTAGCTCCGATCAAAAATGCAGTATTGCTACCTTATATGGGCTGCATTTGCACAGTTCTCACTTTCCAGTTTTTATATAGAGAAACAAAAGCACCTTTGTGGTCTTGTGGGTGATGAATTATTTTCTTCTCTTTTATTCTTATCGTTCAGAAAAAGCGTCGTAAGCTTCTTGTTATTATTTCGCTATTTCCATGACAAACGGTCTACATTCCTTAGTTTATCCAATTCAGATTTTCACAGCTCGGACCCGCCATTTGACATACACCATAGCGCATCATCCACATTCCCTTCATATCTCGTTAGTAAGAAAGAAGTTTCATTCTGACGGCTCCTTCCACGAACCGTGACTTCATGGAACGTGCACCCGACAGGATGCTTCCTCGATCGCTACAAACTTAACATCTTCAAGTCTACCTTTACCCTTACCTTTTCCTATTTAAACTCATAAACTAAACTCGTTACTTCAACGTTATTATTATTAATTATACCGTTGAGTGAAAAATTATTTAAAATAAAAAGATGAAAATGACAACGGTATTGCAATATCATACTTACTATATAGGTTAATTATCCAACTATGTTAAACAAAAAAATGCATATAGTGGTTTGTATTCTGTACAAAACCCTACATGCCATGTTATTTATAATAAAAATAGGTACCTAAACGAAATCGTTAAAAATCAGTATACTGTCATGAAAACATGCTTCGACATAATGTAGTTTTATCATCAAAATATTTTTGTTATTATTAAGAGGAAGAATCAAAGTATTTTTTTAAATATTTAACGAAATTTTTTACTCGTTTTAGATCATTCGAAATTTTGAGTAAAAAACTTCTTGTGTCAACGGTTGCTTTAACTTTTGGCATAGCAAATTTTAAACTTTTTTTTTTGCGTTAACAGACATTAATTTGTGCATTCTTGTAAAAATCAAATAATTGTCGGATTTTAATGAAATTTCCAGGATCTATTGACAAATAAATAAAATTATGTTTGAAATTATTTTTATTACAGAATCTTGGTAAAAATATTTTCCTTATGTGTGTTATCCCCCACCCCTTGAACCTTGAGAAATTCAACAGGATAACTTTAGTGACTATATTAGTTAAAAGTAGAATTCTTTGAAGAATTTAAATCACCGAATTTTTTTGTAAAATCGGACTCCGTCTTACCGAAAATCTGTTCTGAATCGAAAAAAAAAAAAAAAACGCCAATAAAATAAGACATTATTTAATTAAAGAATCTTTTAATTGCTTTTATGAATAATATATATTAAAGACTATTATCTGAAGAAAAAATTTCGATGAAAAATGAATTTTTGCAAGATTTGGTTTCATTTTTTTTTTACAATATTAAATTTGAATTTTAAAATTCAATTTCACTGTTGTAACTCTTACGAAATACTGTCATTAAATAAAACTATATTTACTAATCATATATTGTAAAGATTATTACAATTTGAGGATCCAGAATATTTGAAAATATAATTTCGATTTATTTTTGTATATGTATATACATGTAGAATTTGTAATTACGTATGTTCATACCTGACATTATCATTAAAAGGTCACGTGTTTTAAGGGTTGTCCTCACTTGCGGAAAAAAAAACCTCATGTAAAATTTATAGTCTGCTAGCAATTTTGCATCACCATACTTAACATGTCAACACGTTAGGTGGTCGATAAATCGATCAATACTTCAGAAAAACATGACTGCTTGGTGAAGAGATGCTTATATACGACATTTTATGATATAAGTAATATTTCTTCCAAATCAGATTAATTTAACTTTAAATTTGCTAATTTTCCTCAAACAAAGTTTCAGAAATATATACTTTATTTTTGCGAGATTTTTTAAACCGACAATTAACTTTTGTTTACAAATGTGTCAAAATGGCCGATTTCATCGATTTTACTGACAAATAAAAATCGATTTCGATCGATACTATTTCTGCCTAAAATACAGCACAGAATAATTTTTTTAGTGGAAAGAGTAAATTTTAATCTTTTAGCTTTCAGTTAAAACTAAAGCTTCAAGAATGATTTTTCATTTTAAATCATTTTAAACCTTGCGTATACCGAATTAGTGACGGTACCTAGATAAAATAGCGTGGCAAATGGTTCAATATAAGGAAATCGACTTCAATTCATTTTATTAGCCATAAATCTTGTGAATCGGACATGCGATAAAACCTACCAGTGTTTCTATTCGGATGAACAGTTGCCTTCGCTTTACACACACACACACACACACACACACACACACACACACACACACACACACACACACACACACACATATATATATATATATATATATATATATATAAACTGTTCTTCTGCTATTACAGTTATCTTTCTATATACGATGGTTACTTGGTGTTTTTTTTTTAAACTTTATTTCCATCTTTTATTCATTTTTAAAAATTTACCGTCATTTTTTAAAAATTATTCTTTTCATTTTATTCATCTCTAATTTCTTCGACTTTTCTTTCATTGATTTTGTCACATTTTTGTCGATATTTTTTCTCGCTTTCTTCCATTCATTTCTTTTTTATCGTCAATAATTCTATCTTTTTCTCTCCATATTTCTTGCTTTTCCCATTTATTACATTTCTTTCTTTATTCTTTGCTTCTTATTTATTTTCTTCTTTCTTTCTTTGTTCTTTTATTCCTGATTCTTTTTCTTTTTCTTTTTACTCCTAATTACTGTCCTTCTTGCAGTCTTTTCCTACTCATTCCTTATTCTTTTCTGTCTTTCTTTTCCTTTTTATTTCTTTTTATTCCTTTGCTTTTTTCTTTCTTTTCTTAATTATTTCTTCATTTCTTTCTTTTCCTTCTAATTCTTTCTTTCTTTCTTTCTTTCTTTCTTTCTTTCTTTCTTTCTTTTCCTTCTAATTCTTTCTTTCTTTCTTTCTTTCTTTCTTTCTTTCTTTCTTTCGTTTATCCTCGCCATTCTTTTCCTCCTTATTCCTTTTTCTTCTTTACCTCCTTATTCCTTTACGGTTTCTTTCTTTTCCTTCTAATTCTTTCACGCCTTCTTTTTTTCCTCCTTGTCTTTCTTTCTTTTTCCTGTTTTTTCTTTCTTTCTTTCTTTCTTTCTTTCTTTCTTTCTTTCTTTCTTTCTTTTCCTACTTGTCATTTATCTTCTTTCTTTTATTATTTATTTCTTCATTTCTTTCTTTTCCATCTAATTCTTTCTTTCTTTTTTCCTGTTTTCTTTCTTTCTTTCTTTCTTTCTTTCTTTCTTTCTTTCTTTCTTTCTTTCTTTCGTTTATCCTCGCCATTCTTTTCCTTCTCATTCCTTTTCCTTCTTTAATTCCTTAACGCTTTCTTTCTTTTCCTTCAAATTCTTTCACACCTTCTTTTTTCCTCCTTGTCTTTCTTTCCTTTTTCCTGTTTTTCTTTCTTTCTTTCTTTCTTTCTTTCTTTCTTTCTTTCTTTCTTTCTTTTCGTCCTTATTATTTATCTTCTTTCTTTTCTTACTTATTCTTTCTTTTCTTTCTTTCTTTTTCCCTCCTATTCCTTTCCTCCTTATTCCTTCCCGCTTTCTTTCTTTTCCTTCTAATTCTTTCCCGCCTTCTTTCTTTTCCTCCCTGTTTTCTTTCTTTCTTTCTTTCTTTCTTTCTTTCTTTCTTTCTGTCAGCATAAAAAGTTGAGGTTAATCATTTTATGATGGAAATATTTTTCCGATCTACTTACATTGTGGCTTTCTCCCCTTTTTCTTTCGACCAGGGAATTGAACCAATTAGAACGATTGTTTTCCCTTTTCTCTGTTAACGTTCCTCCACCTACCAACCTAAACTATATCCTCCCCAAGAGCGACTGGGTTGGTCCGATGGGAGAATCAAAAGAGGCACTCATAACTATCTCATTACCTTGCTTTCCCCGGAAGACAAATCATTTGAAACTTTGTCTTGTGGGTGACGACTTTAACTGCAAGAAGTCAAATAAAAAAAAAAAAAAAATAAAATAAATAAAAAGATTGGGAGAAACGAAGTCATTATTATTTCGTTTGTAACCCAAAATCTTGCATAAGTGGAATTTTGCTTTTCTTTTGTTATTTCTTTAGATCCCTTTTCAACATTGGTTGTTTGTTTTTTTCATCTTTTTCATTTCGTTTCTTATTTATTCTTTCTTTTTCTTTCTTTTCCGTCCTTACCCAGTCATCATCGACTTCTTTCTGTTGTTGTTGTTCTTCTTCTTCTTCCTCTTCTTCTTTTGGTACTTTTCCTTTTTCTCTTCTTCTCCTTGTTCGTTTTTGTTTTTGTTGTCCTTGTTATTCTTTTTCTTCTTTTTGTTCTTCGTCTTCTTTTTCTTTTTCTTCTGCTTTTTCTTCTTTTTTTCTTCTTACTTTTGGTTCTGGTTCTCGTTCTTTTTCATCTTCTTTTTTTCTATTTTGTTCTTTTTCTTGTACTTCTTTTTGTTTTTGTTATTGTTGTTCTTCTTTTGGTTCTTTTTGTTGTTGTTGTTGTTGTTGTTGTTGTTCTTCTTCTTCTTCTTCTTCTTCTTCTTCTTCTTCTTCTTCTTCTTCTTCTTCTTCTTCTTCTATATCCGGGCTTATTCGGGTTCATTTTAAAGTTTTTAAATTCTGTTCTCATTTTCCGCTCCTCTTTTACATTTATCTTACTCCCAATTTACGCTCCTTTCATTTCCCGCTCGTTTAATTAATACAAATCTAGTCAGACCTCCTTCATGGCTGACATATTTACGTATTCGCCCATCGATTCCGGTAGTCGGTGTTCGAGTTCTGATAAAAGTCAGATTTCCAATTTTGATGTAATAATGTAAGCTTAGCGTATATCAATACTAACCTTTTCACATTCGTCCTTTCTTTTCTTTATCTTGTCTCTTTCGCTCTGTATTGGTTCACTCATTTTTTCCTTGTTAGTTCGTCTTTCTAATTCACTCCTTTTATTTTTCTTTTTGTATTTTCTTTACTCTTTCGTTTGTATTAGTCTTTTTTTTTTTACTAGGAATTTGACAATCATTTTCTTCTTTCTTCTTATCTTCCCCCCTTCGTTAGTTTTCTCTTAATCTTCGCCTTTTCTTTATCATACGAATCTTCCTTCTCTTGAACTGCTGCAGTAAATCTAATTTTGTTCTTGTTTCTTATTCTAGTTTCTCTAATTCTTATACGTTTTTGTGGGTGGGGAAGAGCTTGACAACAACTTACCTAATTTACTAAATCACTCAAAGACTACTTAGAGCTATTCGCTTTTTTTTTTTTTTTTTAGTTTTCTTTAAATTCTTCTGTTAGGTTGGTGTCATGATCTTCTTTATTTACTTTATTCATCTTTTCTTGTTATTAAGCCGTCAGAAAAGAATAAGAGTAAATTACAAAAGAAATTAAAAAAGTAATTAGGAGATGATAGACGAAAACGCTCGTAAAATGTTGGGTGCAAAAAGCATGAAAAATATGAGTCAGTAAATTGAATACAAAAGAAAAATAATAAAGAGAGAAAAATCGTGAAATGGCAAAAGTAGATAATGAGTGAGAGAGTGAAGAGAAATTGGTCTAAGATACAAGGAGGGGGGAATGTATTGAGTAGAAAGGATCGGTGGGAGGAAAGGAAAATGACAAAGTTTCAGGTTAAAGGATTTTAGAAGGGAAGAAAATAGAAAATACTGGTTAAATGGGAAATAAAGAGAAGAGCAAACATAAAAAGGAAAATTTAAAGACAAGGGAAAAATAGAAATGGAGAGAAATAGCGATTGAAATGTGAATAAACAAAGAAATTGACAAAAGGGAGACAAAAAAAAGGAAGATAAGGAGAATGAGACTAGAAACGAGAGACGGGAAAAGAAAGAAAGAAAGAAAGAAAGAAAGAAAGAAAGAAAGCAAAAAGAGAAATCGAAATAAAGAAAGAAAGACGGAAGGAGAGAAAGACGACCGAAAGAAAGAAGGAAAGAAAGGAAAAACATGAAAGAAAGAAAGAAAGAAAGAATGAAAGAAAGCAAAAAGAGAAATCGAAATAAAGAAAGAAAGACGGAAGGAGAGAAAGACGACCGAAAGAAAGAAGGAAAGAAAGGAAAAACATGAAAGAAAGAAAGAAAGAAAGAAAGAAAGAAAGAAAGAAAGAAAGAAAGAAAGCAAAAAGAGAAATCGAAATAAAGAAAGAAAGAAAGAAAAAGGAAAGAAAGACGACCGAAAGAAAGAAGGAAAGAAAGGAAAAACATGAAAGGAAAAAAGAAATAAAGAAAGAAAGAAAGAAAGAAAGCAAAACGAGAAATCGAAATAAAGAAAGAAAAACGAAAGAAGGAAAGAAAGACGACCGAAAGAAAAAAGAAGGAAAGAAAGGAAAAACATGAAAGAAAGAAAGAAAGAAAGAAAGAAAGAAGAAGGTAAGAAAAGTTGAAAGAAAGATGGAAGGAAGGAAAGAAAAACTAAAAGAAAGAAAGAAAAATCGAAAGAAGTAAAGAAAGAAAATAAGAAAGAAAGGAAGATTGAAAGAAAGAAAGAAAGAAAGAAAGAAAGAAAGAAAGGTAGGAAGGAGAATTGAAAGAACGAAATAAAGGAAAGGAGGATTATTGAAAGAAAGAAAGAAAGAAATAAAGAAAGGAAGAAGAATTGAAAGAAAGAATGAAAAATGAGATTGAAATTAAAAGGAAACAATCAAGACCAAAAGATAACTGCAAAAGAGTTTAGGTATTTATCTTCCATTCCTACGAATGAAAATAAAATACAAGTTCATTTTGTTGTGAGTAGGCGCCAGAATATCTGTATATTTTGCGTCTTTAATTCCGACATCATCCCTGACCTTACCTATCGTAGGTAGTGCATAGATATTGGATCTCCAGTCACAATAGCAAAAAGAATAAACAGGAAAGCGAGGAGACTTTGAACGTTTATCCATGCAGTCCAAAAATCACGGATTTAAATAAAAAAATCCATATCATATTATACAGAAAAAACTTGTTTTTCTATTTCTTGCATATGTTCAATACTTTCATTTTCTTGAAGAACAAAACGAAACAAAATTATACGAAAGTAAAATTAAAATTACGATATAAAAAAAACAAAAACAAAAAAAATATAAACGCGCCTTTCTGTTCTCATGCTATAAAGTTATTAATGAAAACAAAGTCAGAAATTAAAGTAGTTTTTAATATATATTTCTTGTTACCATAAAGGTTATTTTATTGGTACAAGTTGGTTTCAGTTGACATCGATGTTTTCTTAACAGTGAAATTAATATCAACCGGCCTAGATCAAAAACTCCCTAAGGAAAAAGGCACCTCCCGAATCGATAGGTAATAATCCCATGTTTGTAAGTGCGCTTTTACCAAATGGGCCATAAAAACCGTCACAACAAGAAAAGGTTCAATAATCTAATAAAGGAACGCAAATCTATTGATAGCACATCACGAAACTGTATCTGTTGGCTTTATTTTCGTACCCAAAACGTAGAGAGTAATTTTTACATCAATTTAGATCGCTGTTCTGTTACCATAGTACAAATTTGTATCGTTTACTCTCTCTTTGTTTGTCCCTTCTTTCAGTTTAGGTTAGTCACTGTTTTTATCACTTCCTGTGAGCCGATATTTATCACCGGAACCAGCACTGAAAAAATATTATCTCAGACACACGTTTCGTATTTTTCTCAACTTTCAAAATCTTAACCCTCTACTATAGCATCGGCGGTATGTAACATTTTAAACCTTTTCTCACTACATTGATCTCCTTTAAAGTCATGTTTTTTAATTAAACATTTGTTTATGGCAGCCATCTTCTACACGTTTATTTTACGTATGAATCTTTCTATGCAGAATACTTTTCGCCACGTGTTCACCGCTTACACATTGTTCCCAAACGTAACTTTCGTGTAACTTTCTTCCTTTCTGAGAAGTATCACGACAACTTTATACAAATTCATGTAAGCGAAGTATTTGCTACC